TGGAGAGTCTGCAGAGGAGCAGTGGTCGGGAGAAACTCGGAGGAGTGAGGAGCGGCGCGCTGCTGCCCCTCGACGCAGGGAAGGCACGGCGGTGCAGGCAAGCGCTGCAGGGAGGGCAGGGACCTGGGAAGGCCAGAGACAAGGAGACGGGAGTGCATGCTACGGCGACGTGGTAGCGAGGGGTGACCTAGGCGGTGGTGCCAGAGGAGAGTCCGGTGAGAGAGTACCCGACATGAGCAAGACGCTGCAAGCTGACCAGACGCAGACACCCGACTCGACACAGCCACCTGACCTGACTCAGCCACCTGTGCAAACGCAGTGGTCAGGGTGTACAGACCGGACCCAGGCTGACGAGTGAACGTAGCAAGGTGACGGCCAGCCCGTGAGCACTTACAGATCGCCACACGCTGTCCTCCAGGAATGAAGGTGTCAACCCATTCATCCTAGAGAACTGCGTTGCTCAACAAGTTCGTCGAGAATGCAGGGAGGTGGAGACCTGAGAGAGACCCGGAGGGGACTGCCGGACACGGGAGAACAGTGGAGGCTCGCGCAACTACTGGGCCCCCAGTGGGGTCAACCAGTGAGACTGGGACAGGTGCTGCGAGTGGTGTGACTGTGGTGCAATCACGAAAGAAGCAACGTGACGCGCCTGAGTCAAGCGTGAAAGTGTGCAAGGCCTCAACTAAGGCAGGACCTGTGGCAGTAGACGCACTAGCACCTAGAGCATCGGCAGACTCACGAGCACCTAGAGCTGCAGCAGACTCACCAGCACCTTGAGCGACAGCAGACTCACTAGAACCAAGAGAAGCAGCCTCTACACGACCAGGGACGCATCGCTGAGAAGCACAGTCGCGAGGTCGCTGAGGCCACATAAAACCAAAACCTCCACCACCAGGACTGCCTCGCTGAATAACCCACTCACGAAGGTGCTGAGGGGTGGGGTCGTCCGGGAGAGGCAGTGACCGCTGCTGTCCACCCCTGGCCGCTGCAACTGCCATGATAGTGGCCATGACAAGCAGTGACGGTCAGTAGTAGGTCCAGTACCTCCAGCACCAGCAGCACCTCCAGTACTCCCAGCCACACCTCCAGCACCTCCAGCACCAGCAGCACCTCCAGCACTCTCAGCAGCACCTCCACCAGCAGCAGCAGTAGCACGAGCAGCAGCAGCAGCAGTAGTAGCAGCAGGGCGGCTCGGTGGGGCTGGGCGGCGGCTCCTCCAGCACTCCCAGCAGCACCTCCACCAGCAGCAGCAGCAGTAGTAGCAGCAGGGCGGCTCGGGCTGGGCGGCGCGGCTCGGCCTGGGCGGCGCGGGCAGCAGGGCGCGCGCTGTGCAGGGCAGCAGGGCGCGACGCGCGGGCTGCAGCAGGGCGCGACGCGCAGGGCAGCACAGCGCGACGCGCGGGCTGCAGTAGGGCGCGACGCGTGGAGCAGCAGAGCGCGACGCGCGGGCTGCAGCAGGGCGCGAAGCGCAGGGCAGCAGGGCGCGATGTGCTGGCTGCAGCAGGGCGCGACGCGCAGGACAGTAGGGCGTGACGCGCGGGCTGCAGCAGGGCGCGACGAACGGAGTAGCAGAGCGCGATGAGCGGGCTGCAGTACGGCGCGATGCGTAGGGCAGTAGGGCGCGACGCGCTGGCTGCAGCAGGGCGCGACGCGCAGGACAGCGGGGCGCGCGCTGGGCAGGGCAGCAGGGTGCGACGGCAGGGCGCTGGGCAGGGCAGCTGGGCGCGGGCTGCAGGGCGGGGCGGTGCGCGCTGGGCAGGGCAGCAGGGTGTAACTCGCAGGCTGCAGCAGGGCCCGACGTGCGGGGGGCAGGCAGTGCGAGTAGCTGCAGGGCAGCGCGACACTGTGCGAGCAGGGCCGGACAGCGCAAGGGCGCTTTGGGCAGGAACGAGCGGAACTATCGGTGGGCCCTAAAAACTTAACAGGTTTCCTGCTCTGAATACCATGTCAGATTAACTGTGCAGGAATGAATGAACTATGAATGAGTTGGGTACAAGTACTAACCCTAAAGTGATGTAGCCCTTGTAGGCTAACCCACTATAGCCTAGAGGGAACACAAACATATAGTTTGACACTCATAAGAGAATATTAACTTCTAATTAGTATACATAAAATGGATGGATTCAAGAATTTTGAGCTTGAGACATGCATGTTGAAATATGCATCGTGGCATTATGTTTCTGAGACATTCATTATGAGCCAAGCATTATGTTGTGTGCATACTGATGCGTGCACCCTCATATATGCACTTGGAAGCATCCATACTGAGATGATCATTCTCAGATCTAGTATGCAATCTGACACATGGATTTCCAGCACGAGTAACCTCTATCCTTTCATACCCTCCCCCTCCACCCCCCACTCCTCTCCTACCCCCCTGTGTTGGGCAAGGCAGAACGAGTGTCGCTACCATATTCTGGCTCGACTCCAGTTCACCTCCCCAACTGCCCAGCACTCAACCTTAATAAGGTTGGACTATCTTGGCAGAGAGGTTTAGGGCATTCTTCATGCATTTCATGGTGCCATGAAAGATCAGGTATGTAAATCATCATGCTCTCAGGCATTCTGTTTATCATGCATAGAGCATCTAGCATGCTTATCATCATGCTATGAGCCATGCAGCACGCATGAGTTATCATTCTATGTGATATCCACCATGCAATCTATGATGCCATTGTTATCAGTCAACATGCAAGCCATCATGCTATGAGACATTACATACAAATGCTATTCATCATGTCATGAGACATCATCATGCAACATAATGCTTCGTGCCATGTGGCTTGCAATTCATACTGCAATTCACTTTTGAGATATTCAGCACCACCCAAATCATACGGACATGAGGCATTCAGCATGGAAGTAACCATGCAAGACACTTTCACGAGATGTTCAGTTTTCATTCCATCATGCCAATTTGATCATGCTCTAGGATCTTTAGCATCCAAGCCATGAGGCATTGAGATATTTTGAATGCGAATTATCAAGAAATCTTATAATGCTTAGGAACATCCCAAATCATCATGTCATGACACATATAGGATACAAATCATAATCATATGTGGGCATTCAACATGCATACGAACATGCCATGGGACACTCAACATCCAGATGATCATGGCTCAAGACATACAGCAGGAAAATCATCAGGTCATGAAGCATTCAAAGTGCAATTCATCATGGCATCCTACGAGAGCAATCAGAATGCAATTCTTTCTTTATGCCATGAGACCATGATAAATCGAGACACCTAGCATAGCATTACCTCATGCATTGGCACATTGAGCAAGCTTCGTGATGCTTTGAGATATTGAGTACGCCTATCATAAAACCATGAGGCATTCAGTGTATATATGAGTGTGCTATGACGTAGGACGTTCAATTTCATCATGCCATCTATTAGACCTTAAGCATGCAATCGGTTAAGCACTCAGAAGGTTCAGATTGCATTTCATCTTGTTGAGAGACATTCATACGCAAATATCAGACATTTAGCATGCAATCCATCATGCCTTGCCCTGAAATGTTCACCATGCATTTTATCATGCCACGGGACATCCAGCATGTAATGTATCAGACATTTTGCATTCCATTTATAATGCCACAAAAAAATAGCATGCAAGCGATCGTGCCCACGGGCGATTCATCATGCATGCAAGCATTCAGAATGCTAGTCACATGCCATGAGACGTTCAACACATGAGATCATATGTGACATTTACTGCGATTCATCATTTTAATGGGCGCTCGATCATGCAATAGTACATGCTTTGAGGCGTTTGGCATGCAACTCGTTATGGCTTGAGACAATCAGAGGGCAAATTACCATGGCATGTCATTCATGACACACACTCAGCCTAGAATCTATCATGCAACAGCATGCTGTGAGTTGTTTACCATGCAGATGTTCATGCACTGAGGCATCCAGCATACAACTTAGCAGGCCACGAGATATTGAGTTTGCAATTCATCATGCCTTGAGGCAATCCGACTGCGATGTAGTATGCTATGGTGACACATGCAGCATCCTGACATTCACTATGCAATGAGAGATACAGCATGCAGATTATGACGCCATGAGACACACAATGAGAAACATTTAGTAAGCCATCATGCCACGAGACATCCAGCATGCAATTCCTCCTATGATGAAACATTCAGCACGTCATGCGACATTCATCACGCAAATCAGCATGCCACAAAACATTCAGCTTGCAACTCATTATGCCATGGGACATGCGATTCATTGTGGCATGAGACAATCTCCAATTGCAACTGATGGTGCTGCAACACACTCAGCGCTCTATTATAAAGCTATGACACATTCGGCATGCACGACATTCAGCACTTTCTGAGACATTAATAATGTAGTGCGCCATACGGTATGCAAATCATCATGCCATGGGACATCCAAATCATCATGCTATGGGGCACACAAACCAGCATGCATTTCATCTTCCCATAAGACACTTGACATGCATTTCATATTGGCATAAGACCTTCTGCATGCATTTCATACAGGCATAAGACATTCTGCATGCATTTCATATTGGCATAAGACATTCTGCATGCATTTCATATTGGCATAAGACATGCTGCATGCATTTCATATTGGCATAAGACATTCTGCATGCATTTCATATTGGCATAAGACATTCTGCATGCATTTCATATTGGCATAAGACATTCTGCATGCATTTCATATTGGCATAAGACATTCTGCATGCATTTCATATTGGCATAAGACATTCTGCATGCATTTCATATTGGCATAAGGCATTTTGCATGCATTTCATATTGGCATAAGATCTTCTGCATGCATTTCATATTGGCATAAGACCTTCTGCATGCATTTCATCTTGGCATATCTTCCACCATGAATCTCCCCAACAGCACATTCTTTTCAATCAACATGTGTTTCGTCAATACCGCAAGCCCTCTGCAAGCCCCCCTCAATTCTCCTCTCTTCCACTCCTCGTTACTCCACCTAGCATCAACACTCAATTCAGTGCTGTTAAAAGGGCAGGTGGGCGAAGTTCTCCCATCCTATGGCTGCAGCAGCAGGTGGGAGCAGCGGGTGAAGCGGGGTGAGAAAATAATCTTCCTCCCCCTCTCTCATTCACCCATCTCGCCCCTGCCCCCCTCATACCCCCTATCTTGCCCCGCCCCTCCTCAAACCCCCATCTCGCCCCTCCTCCTCTCTTGCCGCCCGTCTCATCCGCCCTCTCATCTACCCCCATCAGCACGCCCACGAGTTCCTCTGCTCGCTCCTCCTCTGCCTTCATTCCAAAGCGGCTGCCGTCGCCTCTCCTGCCCATGCCCACACCCCGAGCCCCATTCTGCAAGAAGGCAGGGCGCTTGTGGGTAGGGCAGGAGAGGGTGGGAAAAGAGGGCTGGGGCACGATGGAGGGAGGGGAGGGGAGAGGACAGAGAGGGCAGAGAGGGATGGACATGGACTGGCGACGGGAGGAGGTCAGAGAGGGATGGAGAGAGTGAGAGGGTGGAGCGGAGGAGGCGAGGAATGGCGGTGGGAGTGGGTGCGCAGTGGGCACCAGTTTCCTGTCAATGGTTGGGGTGGTGAGGGAGTGTGAGGGGTGTGGAGTGAGAGACACTGGTGAGGAGGAGTTTCTTTGTCTCTCACTCCCCATCCCTTCTTCCTACCCATGTGTCGTGTCCTGCACCCCGCTCTACTTCTGCAGGACCTTCAGCTCCTCCTGCTCGTGTTGGACCATCTGCTGCTGTACGCATATAGCAGTGCTGCTGGCAGCAGAGGCAGTATGACTGAGTCCAGTGCTGCTGCCGCTGGCCGTGGTGCTGCCGCTGGCCGTGGTGCTGCCACAACTCTCACTCACCATCTGCTCTCAGTCCTGCTGTAGCACTTGCACGTGCAAGTTGCAACCCAGCTGGTTGTATACATGTGCTTTCTAATATGCACCAGGTAACAAAGGTTTCACTTTCGTAAGTTACCTCTGGTTCTATAATATATTCCCTTCCCAGTCACCATGTTTTCCCCTGGACCTCCTCCCTTCCTTCCCCCCTGTCTTCAGCACGAGACGGTGCAAGGCAGGGCGTGCCCCCACTGTCACCGGTCTGCATCATGCCACATCTCCCCAGCCTTCCGGCATCCTTGTCTTCCACCTTAACCAATGTCATTCATACCACATTCCTTTTGGCTCACTCCATGCCTCAAGAAACCCACTCTGTCCCATGCGGAGTCTTCTCCCTCCCTTGCACAACGCTTAGCGCTCAACACGCAGCACCACTATACCACCGTCTCTGTCGTGTGAACCACCTCACCACCCAGCGCCCTTCCCTGCCCATCCGCCTCCGCTCCTCCTTATGCTCCTCCCTCTGCTCCGCCTGGCAAGGTGCCTCATGCTACAAAGACCAACCAGCCCAGCCTCCTATCGCTCCCCCGCTTCTCCTCCTGTGCATGCTGCTGGGGCTTCGTCTATCAACCCCTTCTCACTTCCAGGCTGCAGCTAAACACGTGGTACCGTATTCCTCCGGATAAAAGACCCTAGGGTCTGTTATTGATTTCACAAAAAAAATGTGCGGGGTCTTATTATAAGTGCTATGTTATTTAAAATATAATGAAATGCAAGGGTGTTGTAATGCAGATTTGCATTTTTTTAATGAGGAAACACCCCGCGAATGTCCTGAGCCGAGAAACCGGGCACAATCCACGAAGCATCTGAATGCTTCATGCTCATTGGCCCATATTCAATGGTAACCAGCATTACAGATTGTGGGCCGACCAACGTGTACCACGTCCAATGCTTTGTGTCAGACCGCCTTGGACATCTCATCCCTTGCATGCTACGTGAGGCTCTCAGCACAGAGACGCGCTATCTCTGTCACGTCTCGTGCACAAGCGAATCTGACACCGCCAGGGAACAGACCCACCTCTGTGCAATGGGGAGCGCAACTCGGCAGAGTCTAGCATAGCGGGACTAGCACAGCATATTAAATTCACAGCGCGAAGAATGCCAGGCATAGCATTAGGCAGAAAAAGGGTGTCAGCATGGTGTCAACGCCCGATTCAGGCATGTCAGAATCCCGTCGCCCTCGTGCAACAACCTTCTGTCAACCTGCTCGTGTTAGGACTACGCCGCGTCATGTGCTGCCCACGCCAGTACCGTCTTCGGGTGAGACTTCTCAGAGCAGCCGTACCCCACGGGCCCCCCTTCCCACAGTCCGTGTCCCCGTATTTCCACAGTCGTCACGTCCGCAAGGCAAGAAGAAGAAGGTCCAGGATGCAGCGCCCCCCGCCTCACCTCGCCACCGTATGACGAAGTAGGCGCGGCATGCGTACACGGCGAGGGAGAAGTTGTAATGCCTGGATATGCTAGACATGCAGCCCGATCTCAGCATCCGGGGGTTGGCGCGGCTAGCTAACGTGCAACCGAAGCAGATTCGCGAATGGAGGAAATTGAAGGAGCGACTCCTTGTTTCAGCGGCGTGTCGTCGTCGCCTCGTTGGCGCAGGCCGTAAGGCCAAGTGGCCTTTCATGGAGCGGGCCATCTACCGTCAGTTTTTGGCGCACAGTGCCAAGGGTCAGGCCGTCTCTGTGAGCATGCTTCAGAAGTGGTCGCAGCAGTACATGAAGCACCGACACCCTCAGGCCGACTGGCGCGGGTGGTCCTTGGCAAAGCGTGTCAAGACAAAGATGGGGAAAAAACTGGCTGACAGTGAGTCACTTTGCCTTGTTGCTATATTTGCCCGCGGAAACCTGTCAAATGTTATAGTGCTTACTTTTGTGTGGGCTGTAGTGGGGTCGGGATGTCTAGTGCATCCGGGTCTCCCTCAGGTGCAATCAGCATGGACACGAGATGAGGTACAGCAGCTGCAAAACACTCAAAGTCCTCCTGCCTGTCCTCAAGGACGTCCGTGCCAAGAGCACACTCACCCCCGACGGACGGAGGACAGTCAGACTCAGGCTCAGAAACAAGACTAGCAGCGTAGTCGAGACGACAGGCAGCAGGAAAGTCAACAAGCTCAGCAACTAGGGCAGACGCAGCAGCAGACTCAAACGAAGGGTCAGTGACAACAGTGGCTAGAAGACGTGTGACAGTAGGACTGGCAGCACGAACTAAGTCGGACTCAGGGTCCGGACCATCAGCAAGAGAGGACGCAGGAGGAGACGGCAGGGGGACACGCTGTGGAACAGAGGAAGGACGAAGTGTCATATGGTGCATTCCGGGGACAGGAGGAGGACGCGGACGAGGAACACGACGACCAGTGCGAATAGCGCGAACCCGCACTCTTACGCAGAGGCGATTACGGGTCCCTACTCCTCTCAGTGGCAGACAGCCATGGACGCAGAGATGGCATCCTGGAAGTCCACAGGCACTTACGTCGACGCAGTTCCCCCTCCTGGGGCGAACATAGTCGATGGCATGTGGATCTTCAGGGTGAAGCGGCCGTCGGGTTCTCCGCCTGCCTTCAAGGCTCGTTACGTTGCACGAGGCTTCAGTCAGCAACAGGGAGTTGACTTCTTCCAGACCTTCTCCCCTACCCCGAAGATGACTACTCTTCGGGTACTGCTGCACGTGGCTGCTCAGCGTGACTACGAGCTTCACTCTCTTGACTTCAGCACAGCTTTCTTACAGGGCAGCGTGCACGAGGAGATCTGGCTGCGCCGCCCACCTGGCTTCACTGGGTCGTTTCCTGCAGGTATCCAGTGGAGCCTCCGGCGGCCAGTCTACGGTCTCCGCCAGGCGCCTCGCGAGTGGCACGACACGCTGAGGACGACACTTGCGGCTCTTGGGTTTGCTCCTGCTACTGCTGACCCGTCGCTGTTTCTACGCACCGACACATCGATGCCGCCGTTCTATGTCCGCGTGTACGTCGACGACCTCATCTTTGCCACTGCTGACACTGAGGCACTGGCCCTTGTGAAGTCGGAGCTGCAGGAGAGACACACCTGCACTAGCCTGGGTGAGCTGCGTAGCTATCTTGGCTTGCAGATCACCCGGGACAGAGCATGGCGCACCATCACCCTGACTCAGTCACACATGGTGCACCAGGTCCTTCAGTGCTTCAGCTTCTGGTACTTCTCACCACAAACCACTCCTCTGCCTACCGGTCACTCGCTCTCAGCTCCACCTTCGAACGAGTCCGTAGAGCCGAGTGGCCCGTATCCAGAGCTTGTGGGCTGCCTCATGTACCTGATGATCTACACTCAACCTGACCTTGCCTACCCTCTTAGCATCCTGGCACACTACGTTGCGCCCGGGAGACACCGACCAGAGCACTGGGAGGCCGCTAAGAGGGTGTTGCGCTACTTGTGCAGTACATTGGGCATGGGGCTCGTGCTTGGAGGACGGGGTCCAGTTGTCCTCACTGGACACGCCGACGCTTCTTGGGTTGACGACTTGGCTATGCAGCGGTCGTCACAGGGTTACACTTTCAGCCTTGGCTCCGGCTCTGTTTCTTGGCGGCGACGTCGTGACTTCCGCCGTCGCGCGCAGTGAGGGAACCGTCGTCGTCGGCGATGTCACGCCTTCCGCTGCACCGCGCAGTGGGGGAACAATCGCCGTCAGCGATGTCGCGCCTTCCGCCGCCCCTCGCCGTGGGGGGAGCCTTCGTCGTTGGCGATGTCATGCCTTCCGCCGCCCTGCGCAGTGGGGAAACCGTCGTCGACGGCGATGTCGTGCCTTCCGCCGCCTCGTGTAGCGGGGGAACCGCCGTCGCCGGCGATGTCGCGCCTTCCGCCGCCCCGCGCATTCCGCCGCCCCGCGCAGTGGGGGAACCGTCATCGTCGGCGATGTCGCGCCTTCCGCCGCCCCGCGCAGTGGGGGAACAGTCGCCGTCAGCAACGTCGCGCCTTCCGCTGCCCCTCGCAGTGGGGAAGCCTTTGTCGTTGGCGATGTCACGCCTTCCGCCGCCCTGCGCAGTGGGGGAACCGTCGTCGCCGGCGATGTCGCGCCTTCCGCCGCCTCGCGCAGTGGGGGAACCGTCGTCGCCGGCAATGCCGCGTCTTCTGCTGCCTCGAGCAGGCTGGGGCTCTTCCCCTTCCTCCTCATCACCCTGCTCGCTCGTAGTGTGCACATCCACGTCGCCTTCGCGACGCCGTCCATCCATCCCGCGCTGGCCTCCTGCCAGGTTCCCCGGGTCGCTGATCACGGGCCGCCTCCACGGTTATGACCTGACGTGCAGATCTTCCCCGCTTTCTTCTCTTCGCACGCCCGTCGGCGTCACCGGATCCGCCCAATACGCCGCCCGTCATGGCGAGCGCGTCGGCAATCTCCCACGCTCCCTCGAGCGCCTAATCCCCGACGGAGATCGTTCCCGCCGTGAGTACGTACGCTGCACGCGCAGATCGTGGCGATCCATGTCGCCGGTAAGCTCTTCTCTCGCTTTGTGAGAGAATCCTGCTCCCACAAGCTGGCTGCCCTTAGTGGTGTATCACCTAGCTACCGTAGCCTTAGAGTGGTGAATTAAATCCACTATAGTGAGCAAACAAAGCGAGAGAACAGGTTCAGTTGGCTAGGCTAGGCTACTTTATTCCCACTCCGAGTCCAGGCAGTTGCCACCACCTTGCGTTGGGTTCGGGTCGCCTGTGGCCCTTATTGGTCCATGTGGATTTCCTGTCCCTCGAGGCACTTTGTGTTATAGTCACAATAGGCTTGAATGTGCCTAAAACGAAAGATAGAGAGCACAGACGGATTTCTGCACAGCGGCTTCAAACGTTGATAGCGTTCTGCTCACAGCTGCAAATGACTTGATTCAAATTGGATCTGGAGCGTCTTCACGTCGTCTACAATTATCAATTTAGATTGCACGATTTGATAAAGAATTGACGACACAGCGTCGGTTTGAACGAACGGTACTGTGGCAGCCACTATAGTCT